TGTAAACAAGGAATATCAGACGTTTACTATCAACATTACTGTTCTATACAGACGGCGTGCAGCTTCCGGCGACGCACCACCAGCGCGTGCACGCCAACGGGACGCTGACGATCGCTGCGGTCACGCGGGCGGGTGACGAAGGCAGCTACTCCTGCACGGCGCTCGACAAGCAAGGCCGCTCTGACCAGCAGACGCTCCATATTCAAGTCAAAGGTTTTAATTCTTTTTTTATTGGACACCGAATAACAAGGCTGAAGAAAAGCCTTGTCTTATTGTTGAATTACCTGATACTTGTTGATCATTCCGACTGTCTTTGTATCGCGGGTTAGAAAAACGTGTTCCTACAATGAATGATAGGATATTGGGTTTATGGGGGTTTATAGGTCGGAAACGGAAATTAAAGTAATTTAATATCGAAAATGTTTGTCGATACTTATCGGTCTCGTGACAGTTCCCTCCAATATATACAATAATATTGTTGGTCTCGTGACAGTTCCCCCGAGGCTGGCGCACATCTACTTCGTTGGGGAGAACAGCGCTGGATTGCGGACCCAGGCCGCGTGTCTCGTGCTGGGGGGCGACACGCCCATCACCCTCACCTGGTTCAAAGACGGCACCCAACTCGAGCAAACTTCCAACGTGGTCATCACGCACGTTAATGAGTTCACTTCACTTCTTGCCATCGAGAAAACCAGCGGCGAAGACTCTGGCAACTACTCATGCACAGCCTCGAACTCGGCTATGTCGACCACTGTTTCAGCGCAGCTGACAGTCAGTGGTAGGTCATTTGTTGTCTCTGTTGGACTAGTGAACTTGTGGTAGGAGAATGTGCCAAGTGTGTTATTTTTTTTGACTAGAAACTGTGTGAATTTTAGAGCGAGATCAATTATTGTAGAAATCCAAAGACCTAAAAATTTACTTAACGACTTTAACAGCTTACTGCAAGACCTTGTTTTTGGCAGCCTTCGGATATAAACGAGCTTTTGTGAAGGATCATAAATTAAAGTGCTGCATTTAAACATGTGTTTATATTCATGACTTTAGGTCTGATTAAAGAAAATCAATTTGTATAATTGTAGTTCTGAACATGTGGTTTACGAATTATTTTTCTTTTATTTACATGTGACATTTGACGGTTTGAGGTGTATTGCAGACTGGAAAAGAATTTATTTCAGCTATTATATTTGTATTGTTTTAAACAACTAAGAAAGTATTATCGAAAATTCTTCGCTCATTTTTGTTCACTATTATATATCCATTTCAATCTATGGCCGGAATTCTTAGATTTCAATTATTTTTATAGATTTCTTAGATTTCAATTATTATTATAATAATTCCCCAAATTTAATAAGTTATCCTATGAACCTAATGTCAACTTACCTGTCTTCCCACCAATTGATCAGTCATCATGCAAAATTCACCGCCGAAGTAAACAAATTAACGTCTCCATAATCAATTAATTTAACTTATTAAATGTGCAGTGCCGCCCGAGTGGGTGCAGGAGCCTGAGGACGCGAGTGTTGCGCTGGGCGCGGCGCTGGAGCTGCCCTGCAGCGCCAAGGCTTTCCCCAGACCATCAGTGAGCTGGCGACAACAGACACGTGAGTTCCATAATTGGATCCTCAGTGAACCAATATAAAATTGTTTTTCTAGTATAAATACTTCACGGCGTATTGGTGATGTAGGATAATTTGAATTCACGTTCAGATTTTCAATCACGTTCAGATTTCCAATCACGTTCAGATTTCCAATCACGTTCAGATTTCCAATCACGTTCAGATTTCCAATGACGTTTAGATTTTCAATGTCGTTCAGATTTTCAATTCTGAAAATCATATTTTAACAAAATAAAGTCTTAGCTACTTACCTATGGATAATATTTATTTAAAGAAATAAATGAGTAGAGTTTAGATTGGAAAACCCTTGATAAATGTACGCTTGCTGCACAGCCTCGGGTGGCTGGGGCGCCATCAGCCAAAAGTACGGCGACCAGGACAAGCAGGAGGCCCCCTACGCCGTGACCACGGGAGACGACAGCCAGCGGCCATATTCAGGTATGCAGGCACTGAATACAGGAGTTGGTATCGTGTTCTGTTTTGCAATTAAATGGATGATTCAGTTTAATTTTCTCTACCTCCATCAAGGAGATTTACTCGTTTTCTTTGCATGAATGTTTCCGGGTACAAATATTATTAAAAGCAGTGACGATACCTTGAAAAAGGTCAGTTTTTGTATAAAATTCATGTATCACAAGTTTCATGTACGAGGCATTTTTTTACGTCTGTACCGCTTTGGAATTAAAAAAAGGACGTGCAGAGATATCGCAATAGCTTTATTTTTACATGTAAGCCTGCACCTTAATCTACTTTTCTACATAATTTCATGAATATTGAGGCACTTGTCATAACGTGGCACCCGTTTTTGAATACTCTCCTGACTTGTTAACCACTGCATCACAAATGTTTTGACTTCGTTATCGTCTTGAAGACGCCGGCAGCCCAAGTGTTCCTTCAAGTGCAGTGTGATGCTTCACACTGCACTTGATGAATCAAATGCATCACACTGCACTCGTCACTTGTGATGCAGTGGTTAACAAGTCAGGAGGGTATTCAAAAACGGGTGCCTCGTTATGACAAGTGCCTAAATATTCGTGAAATTATGCAAAAAAATAGATTAAGGTACAGGCTTTCATGTAAAAAAATTATTTCGATATCTTTGCACCTCATTTTTCAATTCCAAAGCGGTACTGACTTAAAAAATATACCTCTTGCAACTGCGAACTGCCCTTCAGAAGAAAACCCATTATACAGGTATATAATCTATTCTTATATAATATCGTCAAGTTTTTAGTGTTTATCTCAAAATCAACATGGCTCAAAATAATTCCCTTTACGGCTAGGTGCGTACTAGAGCGACCATAGCCTAGCCCAGTCAAGCTAGTGTAATAAGTATTCAATAATCTCAACTACAACATGTATGTCAACCGAAGCACAAAATATTGCGTTTTTAGGTCCATATCAGAGTGAAGGCAGAAGTGTACTGACGATCGTCCGAGCGACCAGAAAGCACGAAGGCCGCTACCTTTGCCAAGCCTCCAACAATGTCGGCAACGAACTTGCCAAGCTCGTCACCATCACAGTCCTCGGTGAGGCCTGAGTGAAGCAAACTGCTTGCCTCAACATTACCGAACTGTAAGTGTGGCTTGGAGAGCAAACCTTGCGAAGCTGCAATGAAACCGATTAAAAAATTGAAGTCCAATCTGGTTATTTGCAACATTTTAACTACCAAAAGCTCTCGTGAATTGGCGTAAATGTTTTTAGTATCAGAGAGAGAGAGACTTGAATGAGTTTGACCGTCTGGAAACAAATATTTAATATGAACTACTGTGTATGTGAGATGAATTTCTCAATGATTGCGCCACATTACAAATAACTGCATTCAAATTTGATAATAGAATAAAATTTTTATATTCTTGATTTATGGCTTTTAATGTAAATTGTAATTTTTCTGAAATTAGCATCATGAAACCAAACTAGAAATATCTGGACTGAGGAACGAGTTAGTTGTTCATACTTTTCGGATTTGTAATGTATTGGATTTTGTAATGAAATTTTGTGCAAATGCCCGGTATCCCGTACTAGATGAACAACAGTGTGTTTTATTGCACTTTAAATGTGGTCGCGAGAGCAATCCTTGAAATACTGCAATGGATTAATTTTTCCGTCAAAAATTGCAATCTAAGATCTTTAATTGAAACATTTTCCAAATCGTTAAATCTCAACTTCGTTCGGGCCTTCACATATTCCAAAGCAAAATGGTATCACGTTTCCTTAGATGCCAATGTGCAGCGTTTCCGCGAGGTATAAATCATTGGCTTTTTGGGTGGGAGACATTGCATCGTATTTTTTCCTCAAAATATTTCTGAAACGAAACGATTTTTTTGTTGGTTGCCAAATTTTCTTGTCTCGAGACGCTTCGTTATTTTTGGACAGGCATGTGCAAATGAATTATTTCATTTAAGGAGATTGTGGTTGACTTGGTGAATTGTCAATTGCATTTTTCTAATTGATGCTAATCGAGGTTGTTGATTTCAGTTAGTGTTAGTGAATTTTAATTGCCGTGTTAGTTAAAAAAAATTACTTCCACCGGAAAAGCCGAAATTTATTTTTTTGAGTTTGGAAAATGCCAGTATTAGGGAAGCATAGTTGTTAGCCTAAAAAATAACTTGAAATCCTTCAATTTTATTTCTGTTTCGGTCAATTTTGAAGACCCTAACAATGTTAGTTATTTAAAATATAATCCCTCACTAAATTAACGTTGATCACTCGGTGATAGAGCCCCCCTGGTTCCCGGAGGGGGGGCGGGTGACGGTGGAGGTGGAGGCGGGGGTGGCCGCGACGCTCGAGTGCAGGGCGCGGGGCGACGCGCCGCTCACCGTTGTCTGGAGCTACCGCGGTGACGCCATCGTGCCGTCCGATAAGTAATGATTACTTAATGATTAATTATGATTGATTTATTATATATTAGATTGAGTTGCGGGTTTGAAACTAGTTGCTAATGAGGAAATTTTTTGTTGTAATCGAAGAGGTGTATGGTGGGTGGTAAAGCACTTTATTATATACCGGTATATTAGATTGAGTTGCAGGTTTGAAACTAGCTGCTAACGAGGAAATTTTTTATTGTAATCGAAAGGTGGTGGGTGTTAAAGCACAACAAGATTGAAGCAGTAAGTTTCGGGCTCGAGACACGAGAAAAAAGTCTTAAGAAAACGTTGAAGGTTATCAAACGTGAATGGATATTGCAATTACAACACTCACTTTTGTTTACAAAATTTGTAGGTATCTCAATTTTTGCAGAAGCTGGAGCGAAAAAAACTTAGCTACTCCAAATGAGTAATTTCTACTAAATTATGATAATTATACGTAATTAAACGCTCGTAGATAATTACTTCACTTTTCGTCACTTTGGTTGCAGGTACAAAGTGCAGTCTGTTCGTGAGGAGCTTGAGGAAGTTTCTCTTTTGACCGTCAATGCTGCGTCTTCAGACGACAGCGGCTCGTACCAATGCCAAGCATCAAATGTGCACGGCATGAACACCTACACCGTTACACTCAGTGTGCAGGGTGAGGGCAACGCGGCATAAATCATGAATTAATATTGTTGACTAAATATTGACTAAATAATATTGACTAAATAATATTGTTGACTAAATAATATTATTCCTGCTACTTATATTATTATTAATATAAGTAGCAGGACTCGCCTGATGTTGCTCGGGGTTCGCAAATGAGCTTGGACCTCGCAAAATGCTGCCTGAGCCTCGCATGTAACGTTGGAATTTAATTGTATGAGCTAATTTTACTTTCAATGTTTCGTTTTACATTTTGCTAACTAACTTCTTGCAGATATCATCGATGCTTAGATTCAAGAGGGAGACTGACTTAATATTTTATTTGAGTTAAAGTGAAATATGAAGAACAAATCTTGATCTATGACTCTTTTCCAATCATATTTGAAATTGAAGTCCGGTCCTTCTAACGAATGTCACTGCAGATAAAAAAAATTAATAGAGTAAACGGACATAAATTGTTGTATAAATGTTTATAAACATAAAAGTATATATTATTAGCAGCTCTTTCAGTAAAATATATTCAATGCATTTTATGGAATATTAACTTTTACTTTTTCATTTTTACATGGATCTCAGATGTGCCGTCTCCTCCAACTGAAGTGAGTTTAACGGAAATTGGGTCTCGCCACGTTAGTGTCAACTGGTCAACCACGGCGTCCATCGCAGGCACTCTTACCAATTACATCGTGACCTACGCATCTGACTCCAGTGAGTCCTGTGAACCCAAATTCCGTGCTAGAATAACATCGTAACAAAGAGTCTCAAGGTCATTCGTAATATTCCTCAAGAATTTATTCCTATGAATTTTCCAAAATTCACGAAAGATTCTGCATCGTGAATTTGGAGAAACTGTGCTAAATGCTACACGTAATGTTTAAATATATTAATTTGAACTGACTGATATTTACTGAATGATTGGAGGCAGCGCATATCGTCCTTATTCCATCGGAATTGAAATATAGTTAAAAATACAAGAAGTTATCATCGATAGAATTTTAATTGAAAAAAGTTCTTTTGATTTCTTAAAGTCATATGGAATGAGAATTTTAATGCAAGTCATTTTAACGGTTCTCATTTATTTTTATTTCATTACTTCATTTCGTCATGCATTACAGCTAGCTTCGAATTTCATACGTATATAGCATGCATTGAACAAACTGAACGACTTGTGCTTTTATGCACAATGTTTCTTTTTCATAAATTCTGACAATTATTTATATAAAAAATTCTAACTTTTATATTTCTGACTATTATGTCGGGACTGCCAACTGTCGCATCAACCGAGGTACAATCTTATAATTGTTTATTGTAATTGAGAAGAGCATGTTTCATTCAACTGACAAATCTATATTGCTACATTCCAAATAATCTACAACCCAACAATGAAGAAAGTCCAGACAATAGAGTGTGCGTGCGGTAAATGGCTTTCAAAACAACGATAGTTATTATTTGTAGAGTAAAGCTCAGATGTTTAAGAGAGCCATGCACCATGATTGGCTTTTGGTTTTGCACAATCAGATTATTTAATAAAATCTCGTTAACTTATCAAATGAACTAACTCATGAAATGATAGTCACACTTTCACAATCTTGCATCAGTATTCACTGAACACCACCGCAATGCTCACTCGTAGACGTGGCCGGGGAGGTGCGAGTGGCGATGCCTCCTGCGCGCGTGGACGGGCTGGTGCCGGCGACGGGCTACTTGCTGCGGGTGGCGGCCGAGAACAGAGTTGGCCGCAGCGAGCCTTCCGCCGGTGTAAGGGTTGTCACCCTTGAAGAGCCGCCGTCGGGGCCTCCACTTAATCTTAAAGTGAGTTTAGTTCATTACTGCACTTTCTATCACAATTATTAATATAATAATTAATAACACTAACATATAACTATTACAGTTGATACTAAAATTATTTTCATTACAGTGACTAGTTAACTAGTAACTAGTGTTGCAAATTACTAGTAAAATTACTAGTGAGTAATTTGCCATAGCTTGTTTTAGAAAATATATTTTGTCCTATCTATTTATTTTCACCTGATTGACTCATAAGTTAATCAGTTTGTTGTCAACTGATTAACTTATATTACTCTCGAACACAAATGACAAAGTTTCTCGAAATCAATTACAAAGTTGCGTTCGACGATTACTTGTTCGAAAACATCTCGCGAAAAAAATTAAATTTTCTAGAATGAGGAACGTAACATTTCGGCTATATTTCATGCATTTTTCGTAAATCAAAAATTCATTATTCTTAATTTGACCATCGACCTATTTGCGAACTTATTTTCCCTTTCCCATAATGTATGTTAAATTTTTAGATAAATTCTCACCAAAAAAGTATAAATTAAATAAATTTTTCGTCTAGGTTTCAGGAAGAACATCTACCAGCATAAGTCTACGTTGGGACCCCCCACAACGCAACCTCAGCCACGGGGTCATATTGGGCTACCACCTCGGCTCCAAGGAGAACGGGTAACTTGGAAATATTACTTATCAATTTATGTTTATTATGATATTATTTCTAGATTACTTTGCGTTCTTACCTTAATTCAAGTTTGAATAACAATTTAGTCGAGGGATGAAAGATTTCATGATAACTGAAGCAGGATGCCTCGAAATGTTCGATATTTTTTGCCACAGGATGAATCTGTGCAAACCACAGCAGAGCCTAAATTTCCAACTTCATTACAGATTAATTGCTAGCTCGCCCTTCCAGGTGCAATATGATTATTATCATATTGATTACATTGATTATATTATTTCAATTTAATTATAAATATCATAATTCCAGATTTATTAACGGAGCTGACGTGAGGCCGTACAATTTCACCATCGTTGCCCTACCTGGACCAAGTCAATCGTATCAAGAGCTTTCCATTATGGCAACTCCGGGCCTCAGTCCACCCCCCGCCTCTCCTGAGATCGATCCCACCAATTTGTTGTTGTCTAGCACCATGACTCTGGCGCCCACGGTTGTCGGCAGTGTAGTGGAAGTTACCCTGGCAGGACTGCGTCCCTACACTCGGTACGCGTTGGTACTTCGAGCTTTCAATTCCAAAGGAGCAGGACCTTCGTCGGCTGCGGTCACGACGAGAACTTTGGAGGACCGTGAGTGCTATGTTATGACTTGAAACTTTTTAATTACAAGCGTTTTTCCCTTACAATAAAAAACTATTAACGCAATAAATTATACAAAATATTAACAATCTACGAAGGGTGGCTGCTCATTTGATTATCATCTAGATTTAAAATATCCAAATAATTTTTTTGTAATCTGAATCTATAAACTATAAGACCAACCGAATATTAGTGATAGGAAATGTGCACACACCGGGACAGACAAGTTGACAACATCGAGATTTGTTTTGCACCCATTAATCTTAGTTACTACAAGTTTTTTTAAATAATTAATTACATTTCAGAATGAGAGACAAATCTTCGAGCCAATAGTAGTAGCCAAATCTTTACTTGAATATGCATTCATGTAAAGAAGATCATCTTCTATTACATATTCCATCGATACCTACATTAAGATTGGAGGTGTGGAGGGATGGAAGGTGTGGAGGGATTGGAGGTGTGGAGGGATGGAAGGTTAATGCCTTAATTTTTAAAGAGAACCTTTCGTTATCAAGAATTTAAAATTTGTCAAACACGATTGATTGTCTTTTTTTCTCAATTATTCTTAACAAGTGATGAATACAAAAAATTAGATCAGTATTCACTGCAGTGAGTGACAGAGAGCGCATTTTCACGCACTTCCGTGAAGTCACGGACGGACGGACGGACGGACATGACGAGCAAGCACAATAGCGCCTTTTTTCCCATAAATTAAATAATATAACTCATTACCCACTGCAGTGAGTGGCAGAGAGCTCATTTTCTCGTCGACGAAAACGTGAAGTCACGGACGGACGGACAGACGGACATGGCGAGCACAATAGTGCCTTTTTTTCCATAAATGAGAAAATGAGAAAAAAATGTACTCATAAATCAGTACTCACAGCAGTGAGTGACAGAGAGCACATTTTCTCGTCGACGAAAACCTGAAGTCACGGACGGACAGACGGGCATGGCGAGTACAATAGTGAATTTTTTCCAAAAATGAGAAAATGCGCTAAAAATTGAATGCAAAATTTTGAAAGTACATCCGATTATTGTTCAACATTTTCTGTGATTGTTGCATGAACGTTAAAGTTTACCATTCCTTCACTGCATATCTAAACCAACCACTACATGGAAAATAAGGTGAAAGTGCCAAAATATGTTCCAAATGTCCAAACATGTTGCAGCATGTCAAAATATGTTTCAACGTGCCCAAACGTGTTGCAGCATGTTAAAAAATGTTTCAACATGTCCAAATGTGTTGCAACATGTCAAAATATGTTTCAACATGTCCAAACGTGTTGCAACATGTCAAAATATGTTTCAACATGTC